AAAAAGGAAAATCAAAATCCTATTCCTCCGGAACATAAAAGGATTATTACTGAGCGTTGCTGACAGACTTGGAGATTCATTAACTAGTCATATTCTTATATGCCTAATCCAGGCAGCAGCTGAATCTATTTCTTTCAGATATATCCATGCAAAATTGTTTTAGTGCTGTATCAGCTCTCTTTTAAGTTTTGTTTTCTTAAGCAGCAATTTTCCTGCACAGTGAAAAAACTGGATACCAGCAGAGTCTGCCTGAATGTATCTGTCATGAATGGATATTTTTCAGCCTGTGATTCCACACCAGCTCACATGTTAGAACAATGGGCAGCCTGCATCCATGCTTGTGGACCGTTCTGTGACAAAATTCCACGTTGTTGTTGACAACTCTTTCAGCAAAGGTGTGCCTCAGGACATTCATGTGCAGCTGAATTTTTGTCCTTTGTAGCAGTAAATCCTTTCTGAAAATCCACTTTAGGCCTCCTGATGTACTGATCCTTTGAGTCCTGTTTTGTCATTGGCAACAGACTTGGTGAGTGGGAGCAAGGACGTGAGGGACTTTCCCAGTGAAGTACATAAAGGGAAAATAAAAGTCTTCTTGGTTTATAAAAGAGAGTCAGACCCTTGGCTGCTGTTACCCCATCAAGAAGCTTTGATTTCAGCAAATTTGGAAAGTAGGTAAAAAATATTTAAATATTTAATAATTAATAATATTTAAATATTATATTTAATATACTATTTCAACTTCAAGAAATAATAACTACTCTATTAAAGATAGTGCAAAGATCATTATGTTCTTTGCCTTAATAGGGTTGCTCCTTGTGGAGTATTTTCCATGGAAAGCTTTAGAGCTCTTGCTGTCTGGTATTAAATTTTCCTTTAGCTTTTCTGTTGCTTTAAATATATCGGCATTAATTTATTGATACCCAAAACAATACAATTTCTTCTCAATCCCTTGTGGAATGTGAAAATTTGCTGGTTTGGGTTTCATATTGCTGATCCATGTATTTCAGACTGGAGGTGGGATTATTCTGTCCAGATCTAGCTATCCACAGTGTAGATGCCAACAAAGCTGGCTGCTCGGAATTCTTTTACACTCTGGGAGAGGAGCTGGAAGTTTAAAGGAGATGGTTAAAATAGGTCAGACAAAACACTTCCTTCACATGTCTGCTTCTCTCTGTTGATATAAAAAGAGACTTGACAATGAGCTCATGTGTGAGGATGTCTCTCCCAGGTTTCTAAAATTAGGAGACATGTCCTAGGTCACTGAGGGGTTGATTTCCTAACTCTGCTCATAGTTGGTAAGTAGGAACGTGAGGAAAGGGCACTGTGCCTTTTAAATAAATGATGTAGCTGGAATACCACATTTAGGAACTTATAGGAGGGAAATCATAAAATGCACTGTGTTATTGAGAGCCTAAAGATAGAAAAATATCAGGTGCACAATGAAAGGTGCTCCAGCCCTCAGGAGAGCTGCTCAGGGGGGTGGAACATCTTTCCTGTGAATTCAGGCTGGGAGTTTGACTGTTCATCATGGGAAAGCAAAGGCTCCAGGGAGACTTTAGGGCACCTTCCAGTGCCTAATGGGAGTTAAAAGAAGTCTAGAGAGGCACTTTTGGTGTAGTGAAAGTCCAAGGGGGAATGGCCTTAAATTGAAGGAGATTAGATATTAGGAAGAAATTCTTTACTGTGATGCTGGTGAGGCACTGGAACAGATTGCCCAGAGAGGTTGTGGTGTCTAAGGCCAGAAATCTGCTCTAGTGGAAAGTGGTCCTGTCCATGGCAGGAGGTTGGAATGATGATCTTTAAGGTTCCTTCCAACCCCAAGCCATTCGTGATAATTATCTGTTAATATATTTTGCATCCAGTAATTCTCCACACATGTTTATTCTTCATAGGGAAACATCCTTCATGTCTCTAACAAACATTGGAGTAGCTGTGCATGGGCTGGTTGACTTTTCTGAAATTTATTCAGTCTGCAAAACCTCAATTTCTCCTGCACGTTGTCAGAAGCTTTCAGATTTCCTCACCTGGCAGGACCTTGGTCATGGGGCAGGAAGAGGATGTGGTGCGAGGCCCTGCCTGGACACTGGAGTGAGATGAATTAAGTGATGAATCCCCATTGGATCATCACTGGTCTAAACCATCGTGGGTCAGCTGTGACATGTGTTGGTTTCCTTTCAAACCACTGGCACACATCCCAGAGGACCACAACAATGAGCCCAGCAGATCAGGTGTTTTTTTTTTTTTTTTTTTTTGGGTGTGATCTCAGTAAGAGTTCATAGCTGCCTTGCAAAGCCACTAAAAATCCTCTTTCATTCATCAAAAAAAATTCCTGCATTTTTCATCCAGTGGGTGCACTCTGCAATGCTGTGTAACTATTTCACCCATGTTTAATGTGAGGACTTTTTATCCTTTTGAGCAGTGATTTATTACCTTTTTATGCCTCCCTGGGAGCAGTCCCATCATACCTAGAAAGATCTCAGTGTGTGGTTTTGTTCATTGGTGACATCAGATGGTGCACTTGGCACTTGGGGGCCTCTCACAGAGCAGTTGTCCTCACCAGCCTCCAGAGACCTTTTTAGATGGAGAAAGAAATGGGAACTTGCAGCAGAACAAGTTTTGTCAGAGCTTTTCCAGCCTGCCCTTGAAGCAACTCAGATGTTTTCATAAAGAATCTACTGTGGCACTGAAAGTGTTTCCAATGGACAAATGAATTCACCTTCAGAGGGGATGAATTATTTTCTTAAGTCACTAGGTGACCAAAACAATGCTCTTTTTCTTTTTTCTTCTTCCTGTATATCAGCCATGCATGAAATAAACTCCTGAAACCCACTCTGTTTTACCAACAGTCAGCTGATTTTCAGATTCTCAGACACTTCAACATCCCTTCTGTTCCACCAGAGATAACTGAAGATCTTTTTGAGGTACAGTTTATCCATAACTGAAAGGTGCAACCCCTTTGTTATTGGCTCTTCTGACTTCATTATTTTAATTACAGTGGCAGATGCAGATAAAACAACAACATGAAACATCAGTAATGAAATGACAGGATTTATCAGCCAGTGATATCAGAAGAACATATAATCATTCGAGTTTCCCTTTCAAATCCAATATAATTATTGTATAATTATTGTATTATTAAACTAATATAATTATTTATTTCTCTCAATCCTGAATGGTAATGCTTTATCAGCATCACCTATATATTTTTTAAAAGTTTCTTTTTCTAGTATAACCTAGCTGATAGTAGTTACTGGGGAAGTAGCTGGGCTTTAATTTGCGATAGAGATAAGATTGATAAGATAAGAGAGATTAGTAGCCTTTAATTGATGAGAGATAAGTAGCCTTTAATTAGTAATAGGTGGACTCTGTATGTTTAACATACATGCCAGGAGCAGCTCAACAGTATAAAAGATTCTGCTGCAGGTCCAGGGCAGAAGTTCTGGTAGCTGTTATTCCCTAATAAACACTCCAGTCTCCCTGGATGACATGAAGGCCTCAGCCCAGTATTTGGTGCAGGTTTCCATGACTACATTGAAGGCAAAAAATGAAGTAGATTCTTTTATTTCCCCTGCAATATGTGAGAGAAAAGCCATGAAATGCTTTGCAGATGTTCTCGTTGTCTCTTTAGAGGCTCCTTTGAAACTCGGACAAGACAGAAAACAGCCACCCTCCACTTTTCAAACCTAGGGATTGCCAAGAGTGTTCTAAAGGTTTTCCTTTTCCCCCAGGGCATCTGAATGTGTCCTTCTCTCAGTCTGGCATCTCCCACCCTTCCCCTGCATTTGATCATTTCCTGATGTGTTACAGGGGCAGAATGAAAGGACAGAACACAACCTCCACACCCTCTCTGGCTTTTCTGGACTGAGCTGCACACAGGAGTGCAAAGGATCAGGAAATAATTTCAAATCCAGTGGCTGCTAATGCATCTGTCTGGTTTTGTCTTGCTGCTGTTAATGGAATTCCGAGTCCTCACGGCTGAATGTCACCAGGGATGTTTGCTGTCCTCCTCAGCTGAGATCTTATCAATTGTCCATTATTTGATAAACCATCAGAAATACAGTAATTAAATTCACTGCCAGAACAGAGCATGAGAGACTGATCAAGAGAGGATAAAAGAAAACAGATGAGTTCAGAGTGAACTTCATGAATCATTGTTCTCTCAAAATTTAGAGGGAGATTAATTTTCCTGTTTTATTTTTTTAATTGAAAGACTGTCTCTTTTCTAAATTCTGATGTCCTAGCAGTGTGTTTCAGTGAGTATAAAACTTGTGTCCTTTGGCTCTAAAAGTTCTTTTACAAATCATTCCTTTACAAATCAAAGTAGGATAATGAGAAATAAATCCAAATCTTAAAACATCTTCTCCCTAGTCCTTAATTCCTTCAGGTCAGAGGCCAAGCAATGGAAGTCACAGGTATGGAAGACATTGTTGTTCATATAAATCATTCCTGATTATGTCCTGGATCAATCTTTTCCCTGAGACTACAATTCATTCTTTTGCCCCGCTACTGCCAAGTTCTCAGAAAGGTTATTAACAAGCTTGTTAACAGGTTATTAACAGGTTATTAACAGGTCTGGTAATGGATTTTCTTATATGGACAACCTATCTTGGGAGCTAGACCCCTAAAAAGCCCCCAGACAATTTTGCTTTTAAGACACTACTGAAAATTGTGAAAGTTGTGTGAACCACAACTTCAGAGATGAAGCAGAAAGGTCTTTTTATCTGTTCAAAATAATCCACCCTTCCTTCTCCCCAGGTACAATTTAGGTGTTTGCAGCTATGGAACCTGTTCCAGCATTTCTTTGACACAAGTTACTGATCACACAAAGTCCTTTGCTTTAAATTAGATATCCAAGACCACCTTTAAAATCTGCCAAAGCCTGGTTGATCTCTAATAAGTGCCACTTGCAGTTCAAGTGTTGGTTCTCTGTTTTCTGTCCATTTATTTTTCGTTCTCTCTGTTATTTACATATTTATAATAATTATTCTCTTTTGTTGCAGAGATCTGAGCCTTGACGTGAAGACCTCAACCAAAATATCAGCAGAGAGCCTGTGCTTCATCCCTAATCTCAGTGTTAACAAGCAAAACTTGTCCAGAATTAGGAGAGAAGATGGCCATCAACTGGAATTTCTGCTTCTTCAGCCTCGTATTGCTTCCTGTGGTAAGGAAAAATTATTTTATTTGCATTGTTCTGATATAAATACATGTTCTCAAGTCCAGCATCTACCAAGAGGGAAGGATCTACTAATTCTGGATGACACTAGTTCTGCATTTTCCTGGGTGGTCTCATAGTTTGGGTTAAGAATTTCCAGCCTCCTTTGTTAATGAAATAGGACTGTGATCATTGCTCATCCTCAGAAGGGCAAGTCCATCCCTTGAGGGCACTTTCTCACTGTTTTTAACAAAGATTCAAAATGAAATAAAGTAATAATTAGAAAAAAAAAACAAAACAAAAACAAACCAAACAACCAGTGTGTCTTCTGTTTCAAATCCATGGGTTTAAAAATATATTTTTTTCCAGACAGAGGGATAAAATTAGAGATTCCCTTCATCCTCTCCATATGAAACCTAAACCTCGAGATATTCCAGGCAGTGCTTTGGGAGGCCTCCGTTTTCAGAGGAGCAATTTTAAGAAACAATACAAATGGACCTCTAAAGATACTAAAGGCACTTAAAGTCATCCATCATCTTTCTGAAAATTCAACTCTTTATGAAGGTGACAAAGATTAATTTTCCCCACAAGTCTTTACTTACTAAACAACGTGCTCTTCCATTAATAACTCTGTGTTAACCCGTCTGGGGATTGTCACTCTCCCTCTCCATGGTCCCTACACACAGTGACTGCACCTCTCCTCACATAACAGCCACAAAAACACTGAACAAAGATATTTTTTCCCCTTTGTAGCTGTGAGGAGTCATACACAAGCCCTGCAATAACTTCTTGTTGCATTCAACACAATTCTGTGTTAACCATTGCTCACAAATGTGCTTTTCAGCTCTTCTCCAGGAGCATTGCTCACAGGGATTCAGTAACAAATAGCACCAGGATTTCAATCCTCCAGCTCATTCCCCTTAAAAGCCTTCTACAACTTCTATGAAAATGCCTTACACTTGCTTAATACACAGATATTTTCACTTTGGTGCACTTTAATAGTCAGAATTTGAAAGAATTCATGACATTTAGTCAGTTTTATTTTTAAATGACAGCTGTTTATTATGATGGTGGTGTGACCAGAGCATCTTTTAGCAGTTTTTGCAGAGTTTTTTGCTCTTGTCTATCAATCATGTGGCCTGTCTTCTACAACACATAGCAGGCAGCACAGAGAACTTGTTTTCACTTTGGCACACAAAAATGCATTTTCTTTCCTTTTGGCTTTTGTTCAGAGTGCATTTCACTGCATAACTGAAATGTGGCATAATTCAGCTAAATTCTGGAGAATTGGGTTGGAATCGGTACCATAGTTGTGCTCATCCAAATAATACAGTTCTTTACATACAAATATATGGCTTTGGAATTTTTGTCTAGAGCATGGCTCCTCTGATTCTTCCCTAGATTTCCTGCTCAGGTAGAAATGATTATTTATTGAAAACTGAGTATGTTTAATTTTTATAATACATCTCTAAAATTACTACTGTAAACTTCCTCTAGCTAATGGGGAGGGGAGAAAACCCCAAATTTAACCTGATTTAGGTATTGTGAGATTCCTGACTATAAAATTCAGCTCAAATTCAGATGCTGGTTTTGGACATATAAGCGTTGATGACGTGGATCCTGCCCTAGGAGAAACTAGAAAGCTGAATTTCTGGCCATGCAAGCATATTTTTCAGACTGCAACCAAAATAATTAAATGATCAAAAGACAAAAAGCATTTCTGTTTAATGACCAACAACCTTCAATATTTCAATATTTTTAGTGCACAGCTCGAGACCCTTGAAAGGTGTCTCGTTATTTAGAGGTGAACAGTTTTTAATTAAGGGAAATAAATGAACAAATCTCTTGAGCTCTCAGATGGGTGACCTTCCTGGCAGATGGAGAAGGACAGCAAATTCCCAATTGCTCACGTTTCAGGACATAACTGTGGTTGCTGAGCTGGATAATTAGTGATCAGCTCCAGCTTGTGGAAAGAACAGTTCTTAATAAAACACCAAATAGCAAACTGGAGCTAATAAGAAAAAATACCAAAGCTAATAAGGAAAAAACTGATTTTTTTTTTTTCTGCTTCTGCAAAGTTTGTGATCTTCTTTATGAATTTAAGGTTTTACTGCAGTCTTTTGCAGGAGTCCAGACATTGAAGTTGACCATTTAACACACATGAATTGGTGTGTTTGTACACACAGAGCCCACCACAGAGATTATACAATAATTTGTGTATAAGTATTCATTTCACATGAAATCCCTACATTTCTTTTCACAGACCAAATTTCAGGAATGATATAATGTTATTTATGTTTCTTCCCTTGCTGTCATTCTTTTGCAATTCTTGTGGTAACACATTTCTCTCCACTGGAGCACACCCTTTCCCTGTGAACTATTTGTAATGTGCTGTGCTGGTGACCTCAAATTGGCACTTCCCTGTCATGCAGATTTTCCAATTTTCTACCAAGGGAGAGGATGTGACTCTTAAAACAATTAGAGTAATTGAAAGTCATCTTAGACTCCACAATGTTCCTGGAAAAAAACTGTTTACATAATGCTTTCTTCCAAGCACATCTGGTCAGATCCGTTTTACCCACAAAAGCCTCCAAACTGATGTCCACATCCATAAACAAATCAAAAAAAGACAAAAAGAGAACCAAGTATGAATGGGAAATTCCAGGTGGCTTCAAGTATAGGCTCCAACCAGACAAGAAGAATATCATATGTTAAGAGATAATTAAAAATGAGCATTTTGAGCCAGTTCAAGGATGATTCAGTTTTCCATGTGTTTTACAGGCTGCTCTGCATTAACCTAACCTATGAACCCCTCAGACTGAAGGCACCATGATGCCTGCAAGGCCTTTAGAGGAATTCTTGAGCTTTACTTTTTTCTGCCATTTAAGTGCTTTCCTGGATTTAAATACCTGTGTTGCTATTTTAGCTGGTTTTAACCCATTTCTCTTGGCTCAGCTCTTCCCAGTAATTTCCATTCTTTGCTTTGGATGAAACTTTGAACAACCTGGGATAGTGGGAGGAGTCCCTGTCCATGGCAAGGGGGTGGACCTGGACGGTCTTTGAGGTCCCTTCCAACCCAAACCATTCTAGGATTCCATTATGTCTTTAATTTTTTTCTTTTTTTTTTTTTTGCTTCTGAATTCATTTTCACTGGCACTTTGATTGACTTTGCATTCCATTTATCTGTGATAACATTGTTGTGTTATTTCTTTTTTTTAATTGGAAAATATCAACAAAAGTCATCATAAAATTATGGAGAAGAAAGGAATCCTAAACCATCGTTCCTTTGTCTGGTTCCAAATGTACTTGAGAAACAATGAGTTTCATGACTCACAAAGTTGGCCTGGAGTATGAACTGAATTTTAAATGTAACTGCAATGCAGGTGTTCCAACTGTCCGGAATAATTCCTTCTGATGCATTTCTTCACCTAATACTTGGAATTTCTTGTGGGTACATATTTAATATTGCTACGCTTCAATGTTTCCAGTGGCAGAAAATTCTGTGTAATGCTTGATCAGCTGGGAAGATTGTTCTCTTTTAAAAAAGAGCGAAATATGGAAAAGGGAAGGCGTAAGTGATGCCTCTTGTATAACAACATTAAAGTGTGATGTCTGAGTGAGAGTCAGGTGGGCAAACACAGATTTGGATGTGCAGGCAGCACCTCAGAGAGCAAAGAATGAAACCTGGATCTGATGGTAGTTAAGTAATTCATGAAGAGCTGAGGAGAGAAACTGAAGTATTTGCTCAGGCCCTGTTTGCTGCAGGGGGAATATTTCTCAATCTTCTGTATCCTCCATCATTCACCCCTGGCTGTCACTTCCAGTGCCAGGCTCCCTTCAAATAGAACCATCTACCTTCCACCCTCTGTTATTTTTAAAAGATGAGGCACAGACACTATAAAATTCTACAAGTTTCTCTCCCAGCCTGCAACGTTTTTAAGCACAGCCCAAACGTGAGGCTCCTCAAGCACAGACATAAAACCTTGGGTTGGTCCCTGCTCTTTGAGCAAACCATTTTTTTTTTTCCATTCCAGGGCTTAATGAGAGAGCTTTTAATGAGTTTACCTGCCTGGTGATTTGTAGCATCTCATAACCCTGTTAGAGAAGTCAAGCTCTCTGTAGGACTGCAGGTTTCTCAAACACAATGCACAGTTGCATGCGACTTCTCTGTTATTTATGTAATGAAAATATAAATATTTTATATACAAACACAGCCAGGGGACTGCTGGGAATGTTCTCCATAGGAAATAAAGACTCAACTAACCAAGGCATTAATGCTGCTGTAACTTTTCCATTTTAATAGGAGGAGCTGGTTCTGGGTGCAATCTGGAGAAAATAGCAACTTCTTAAAAGCCTTAAAATATAAAAACAAATATAAAATAGAAAAACAAAGTTTAAAACAGAAAAACAAAGTTTAAAATAGAAAACCAAAGTCTTTGGATGTGTAATACTGGGTAAAGCAGTTTCAAAGAGCAGGTTCAGAATTCTGGTGTCGAGAAAAATCATCTGAGAAAATCAGCATGACAAAACCACAGAGGCCTTGGTACCAACCAACTTCTAGGAAATCCCAGAGGCACAAAAATTAGGATTCCAAGTCCCAGATGGTTGTTACCTTGTCAGTTAGGTGGGATAGGAGCTTATAGAGAGTGCCAGAGTGAGAGTGGGATTTCCACCTGACATAACTCTAAGTCTCTGGATTTTTTTTCTGAGAAAACTCAGTGTTTTTACACTCCTGAAGGTGGTGGGAGCCCTGGAAATTCTGTTGGTGCTCTGCCTGGTGCACTGGCACTTGTAACCTCACCTGGGCACCTCAGGTGCCAGTCAGAATTATTGTTGAAGATAAAGAGAGACACCTGGTTAAAATATAAGAATGTTTTTCATAGAATTATAGGATGGTTTCTGCTGGAAGGGGCCTTAAAGGTCAGGTAATATCAGCTCCACTAGACCAAGATTTTCAGAGCCCTGTCCAGCCTGGTCTTGAAGATTTTTAAGCTTTTAAAGAAGATTTGCACCAAAGATGAATGGCAGGGGGAGAAAAAAAGTCTAAAAATACACATATCCTACCAAAATGTGGTTCGGAACATTGTGAATAAAAACAGGTATCTACCACAACTTTCCTTTAGACAGACAAGATATTTCAGTCTTAGAAACGCAAAACAGCAGGTAACAAAGCAAAAAGTAGTGTCCCTATGTTATATTAAAATGTTTCCATTTTTTTCCCTCTGGAAGTAGCAATAATTTCTGTGAGAGGCAAATAAAATGATGACAACACTGATTTAAAGGCATTAATTAATGTGATTTTTTTTTTTCCCTGCTGGTTTTGCATTCAGGAGCTTGCAGGAGGGTTGGATGAGCAGTCAAATAACAAACTGGGCAAAGGAAAGAGTTCTTAAAAAAGGAGGCTGTTAAAAAAAATAAAAGTAAAATCAGAATCAGTGATTTTTCTTGTTGCTCAGCTGTTAATACCCAGCTCCTGGAGGGAAAGTTTTCAAGTCTTTAGACTTCAAGAGTGTTGCCTGCAATTCCTTGGGTTTACTGAGTCAGCAGCCCAGGAGGATTTCCTGTGCAGGCAGTTTGAGGAGAGAGCTGTGATGCAGAACCAAGGCTGCAGAGGAGGGGGAAATGGAAGCAAAAGAGCAGGAAGAGAGGACAAAAATATGAAAAAAATCACATTTACAGCACTATTCCTCTATTAGGGATTTGTCTCTTTTATTCCCTCCTGTCCCTCTCACCAGGGGCAGGAGGGAACCCTCAACCCTCTTTATTGCTTACAATAAAAAGTTTTTTCCCAGTCTGTTAAATAAACCCTGCTGCTTCTCAGAGTGAATGTGGGTCCTGTGGCAGGGACTGGGCCCTGCCTGGGGTTCAGGGAATGATGGTGGAAGGAGCAGATGGGCTCAGTGGCTCCTGAAATAAACAGGGCTTATGCCTTTATTACTGTTCAGCTCTTTATTAAAAAGATCAGCTGGGCAGGGGGCTCAACATGGAGCTGTAGCTTTTTTCTGGTAGCTGAGGAGGGAGAAGGCTGCAGGGTCTGTCCCTGGGGTCTCCGTGCAGGGTCTGTCCCTGGGGTCTCTGTGCAGGGTCTGTCCCTGGGGTCTCCGTGCAGGGTCTGTCCCTGGGGTCTCCGTGGCACACTGGCAGCCAGAGGTGAAGAGGTGTTGTCCTGGTTTGAAAAGCAAAACCAGTGAGAGGCTTTAAGTCAGAAATACAATTTATTAGGAAAAAAGGGAACAAAGAACCAAATACATACAACAGCACAAAAGAACCACTGACAGAGTTAGAGATACAGCCTGACACTTGCTGGCTGGGGCGGTGGTAGCAGATATGGTTCTGTCCAAGCTGTGCTCTTGTAGACTGATGGAGTTTCCCTCTGGAGGTCCATTGTAGAGAAGGTCTCAGCTGTTCCTCCTGGAAGAGGGGATCTCCTTGCTGTCTGCACAACCCCACTTACATCCTTGATGGCATCGTTTGGCTCCTCCCTCTGGGCGGAGCATCTCACAACAGAATGCTGTGATCTTATCAGTCATGTGGTAAAGAACAGCTCCTCCTGGAGGGACTTTTCTCTGAGTCACGAGATAAGGAAAGAAAGGGATTGCAGCTTGAGGTGGTGATGGAATACACCCCAATATTATAACCTAGGACAGGTGTGCAGTCTGTATCTGAAGTCCCAGCAGACCATCCTCTCTCCTTCCCTCCCGGCACACCGGCAGCCGCAGGGTGAGGGGATGTGCAGAGCCTGCTGCCCAAATCCAGCAGGAGCTGTCCCCTCTCCTTCCCTCCTGGTGACACCAGGAAGAGCTGCTCCTTTGCTCCTGCTTCCCACAGCCCAGTCCAGTTCTCTGCAGGCTCTGCTGACAGGTCAGACACAGACCAGGGATGTGGTTCCCTTTTCCCCAACCAGCACACCCATCCAGCCCCCTCCACTGTGCCCAGCCTTCCATTTAGGGGTGTTTTCATCCCCAAAACCCCCTCCCATGATTCCACAGGTCCCTCTATTTGCATCCCAGTCCTAGAATGGCAGTGTGGGTGGGGGGTGTAGGTGATTCCCAGGAGCAATTAGCTAATTAACATTTCATTATCGGTACTTAGCTCAAGCCAGCAGTGTCCCAGTATTGCCATGGGGACCAGGAAGGCGCTTTTGCTCATAACAGCTCCCACCCCACAAACTCTGCAGACCAAACTTCCAAACTGTTGGGAAACCAGAGTTTGCCAGGCTTGAGGGGGCTTCCAGGGCTTCTTTTCCAAAGCAGTAACGGCCTGGCTGTTGTGCCAGCCATCTCTTTAACCTCTGAGGACCCTTAGAAAACACTGCCAGCCCCAAACCCCACGTGTTGCTGTCCCTGCAGTCCCACAAAACCCAACCCCAAACCTTTCTGTGTTTCCTTGGGCAAGGGGTGAATTGCTCGCTCCAGAGAAACTTGTGCTCCTGACAAGAAAGTTGTGTTTCTCCTAGATTTGTTTTCCCCATGAGGAAGTGCAGATTTTGGAGCTGTGGATCCCATCTACACCAAAATCTGGTGACCTCTGTGATCTTTTTTTCCATGCCATAGAATGCCAGCTTTGCCTAAAAAGACACCATGAATAAATCAGAGATGCCTCTGTAATTTCCTCTGTGTGTTCTGCACATAAAAAAAGTCAGAAAATTCACTTAGAGCAATAATTTGCCCCCTAAATTCTGGATATCTGGATTAGAATCAGAGAATCCTGGAATGGCTGGGATTGGAAAGGACCTCAAAGCCCATCCAGTGCCACGCCTGCCATGGGCAGGGACACCTTCCACTATCTCAGAGTACTCCAAGCATCATCCAACATGGTCTTTGGCACTTCCAGGGATCCAGGGGCAGCCACAGCTTCTCTGGGCAACCTGTGCCAAGGCCTCAGATGAAGATATTTATCTATATGAATATACAATTTTGATTCTTCTATATTTAGTGTTCTTCAGTACTTAGTGATTGACACCTCTAGATATTGGTAAAACCCATCCTAAAATCCCCCTAATGCTCTCCTTACTGCAGGGCCCTCAAAAAATTATTTTAGACTAAATTTTTGTCTCTTTAGCTTTTAAAAATCTTATTTTTATTGGGCATTTAGAAATGTTCTGTGCATCAGGAATAGATGACAGTAACTCACCAATTGATTGTCTTGAACTTTCAGTATCTTGTGACCCATCTTGGTATGGTCATTTGTAAGCTTATCACAAATTCTGTTTATTATTGTTGGTTCCTGGAACACATTTTTAAAATTCAATATTAAATGTATGTTCATGTATGGGTGAGGGCAGATGCCAATGGATCTTTGTGTCTGGAGTAAAAAACAAATCTAAATGCATCCATTAAATACTTCAGAATCATCATAAAAACACCCCAAACCCAAAGAAGATCTGTTTTAAACACAACAGGAAAAATATTTTCCCCATAGAACAACATTTAAAAAAATATTCTGTAGCACTTTCATAGAATTATTGCTTCCAATAGAGTTCAAAGAATCCAGTCTCAATTTAAACCACTTTCCCCCCCTTTTTTTTTTTGGATCTAAGATTTCTAAATACTTATTTTCTTCAAACAAGAAACACTAGAGAAATGAACACTTTTTAACATTCCTCAGCTCTTTTAAAAAGGAACAAATGCCAGTTGCTTGTTTTTGATTTTTTTTTTGGTTTTTTTTTTTTTTTTTTTTATGTTTGTTTGGGGTGTTTTATGGTTTTTTGTGGGTTTTTTGTGGGGTTTTTGGTTGGTTTTTTTTTTGTTTTGTTTTTTTTTGCTATCAATATGGTTTAGAATGTAAATCCAATCAACTGTTGAGGGAAAATAGTCTCAAGGAACATCTTTGAGGCAGATTTCATTTGTTCTGGGGAGTTTAATGGTTTCCCAACCTTTGTACGTGTTCAGTGCCTGACCTCACTGCTCCAGCCTCCTCTAAATCTGGATTTCCCTGGAGGATTTCAAACTGATAAAGGATTTTACTTCTCCTGCCCTTCCCAATAACAAATTCCTGCAGTGTTTTTTTTCTTTTTCTTTGGGCTCCTTTTGGAGTGTAAAATTCTCAAAGGGAATATTAATTCTCTAAGAGCTTTAGACAGAAGAAAATGCTTTATCTGCTGTGTCCTCTTTCCAAATGATTTTGCCCCACAGTCTCTCTGCAGCTCAGAATCTGTGACCAAAATGACTTTTTGAGGGGTTATTTAGGCTAAGTCCAGGCTTTACTTTGGTTTGAAAACTTCTAAAATAAATTTGCCAACAATTTCACCCACTGATGACTGCATATTTGGGAAGGGGCAGTCCAGAGATTTTAATTTTGTTTTTTTTTTCTTTCCTGGTAACCACATCTGAACATTTTTGGTATTTGACATAAAACTGGCTTTTAGGACTTTACTTTATGCTTTCTTGTTTGCTAAAAGCTTGCAAGATAACTGATAATGCAAAATGTAGATTGGGTAGGATTAGAGACATGTTAAAGCTCTAGGGTAGCAAGTTGTTTCAACTTCCTCAGCTATATTAAAATGTTCTTTTTCCTGCTGCCCTCTGGCTCAGCTGGTTTTAGTTATTAGGTCTCTGTTAGCCAGTTATGATAATATTCTCTATTATTTAAAAACCATACAACAAATAACAAATTTGCTCTGTAACAGCAATTAAATTCTCATGTAGTTTCAATCTAAGTCCATTTTAGCATCTCTTCCAGCAACATGAATGTGTGAGATCTAAACCTTTTGGCCATCATATGTTGTTTATTGTGCCTGAACTCATTCAGGTGAACAAACTGCATCTCATTTAATATAACCATCGACTCCCACTGTGTATTTTCAGCTTAAAAGGTTTGCCCCCCAAAATGATGAATTTACTGTTCATCCACAGGTGGCTGTAGCTCTGGAAATTCCCAGGAACTCTTCATTTGAGATCAGCTTTGGGAGAGACAGGAATTTTGTACAGAAGCTTTGGGAATGGGTTGAAAGATGCTGAAGGGTTTTTAATACCCTTAGGACAACAAATTAATATGATCACATATATGGAAATATATTGATTTTTCTATTCCTCCATGTCATCCATGTACCCTTCAAAAGTGAATGTTGTGGGTCAGTTCAACTGAATTTGACAAAAATTCTCAGAAAAAATAAATTTCTAACAGTTTCATGTGAACGTTTAGGCAGAGATTTTTTTCTTATTTCCTTATAGAAAGATAAATTTCACAAAAAAACTCAATAAACTTATTAGACAGAAGAGTATCCAGACTGGAGCTCATCTCAGGACAAGAACTGATGACTTTAAACTGAAAGAGGGGAGATTAAATGGGATATTAGGAAGAAATTCTTCCCTTTTAGGGTGGTGAGGCACATTTTTCCAGGGGTCAGGAGCTCTGTTTGACTCTTCTTGGCTTTCAGACATTCTGAGCTTTGTATCTTGAAATTAATTTTTTTTAAAAAAGGGGAATGTGGGCTTGTGATTTCCATCTCTTTTGTAGCTCAAACCCTTAAAAAAATGTCATCAGTTGGATCCGATGACCTCAGGTAATTTTTTCAGTGCACATCCCTATTTTTCTGCCTTTTCCCACACATTTCTTTGTACACAGCTTGGTATCTAAATTATTCTCACCCCCAAAATCCATGTCCATTGGTAGCACATGGCAGAGCAGCTTGGGAACACTCTGGCTTTTGCTGCAAAGCAATGCCTTCACTTTTGCATTGATACACTTTTTCCTTCTCCACACCACTTTATTTATTCTATTTATCCAGTTGTTTGCGTATTTTATTTTAATATTCAAGGTATTTTTTTTCTATGAATTAAAGCTGAAGATGGGGACAAAAAATAATAAAGTTTAAAATAATAAAGTTTATTTTCACCTCCAGGTTATAACATGAATTCTGCAGCTATTTTATTTAGGGAATGCAAAGATAGAAATGGAACTTCTTTTCCCTTTTCTATCCCTAGATTTTTTTGCTACACCTCTGTTAAAAAAATCCAAAACGATGTCTTGGGAATAAAAATCAGTATTTTAAGGGCAGATCATCTTGTACTGAGGGCAGCTCTCTACAACATGGTGCTGCCTGCAAAGGGAAAATTTGGGATGTTGTTGCTCATGGATCTGGGAAAAAAAAACCAAGCAGCAACCAGCTGCAAAGCTGGCAGAAGCCATTGTAAAATATCTGTTGAAACTGGGGAAGAATTAAATCCTATTTAATGTATTGCAAGGAAGAAAAAAGGGGAGTTTGACAGAGATGTGTACAGGGATGTTTGACAGGAGTAACATTAATCTAGAGAAAATTCTGTTCTCAGTACTGCTTTATGGCATTTTGGGGCACTGTTTGTATTATTCAGAGCTTTGTAATTTGTTTTTTGCATGTGTGAAAATGTGAAATGTTATCAAAGATGTAATGTAGAAATTCTGAACACAGTAATCTCGAGAATCAAATAAATGAGTTAACATACTGGAATCACCCAGAATAATCCATGAGGGGCAATATGAAAGAGGTTCCACCAGTTTTTCTTTTAAAAAAGATAACTTTTTTGTAGCTGAAGTATGACAGCAATTTGCTCTCCTGGCAGAGGAATCCCTGCTCTGTTTCTCTCTTCAGCATGGATTATACCGAGAGTATTTACATGTGTTAATGTTTTCTTCTGAGAGCAGGGAAATCAGAGCAGCCAAAAGAGCTGCTCCCACTTCTGATCCTGTCATTCCCCCTGGAAAACAAAATTTTCTTCTTTCTCTTAACTTCAATCTGAACAATTAGAACATTACAACAATTTAATGTTACATTTTCAAGGAC